TAAGTACCACTCAAGCCAGTGACCACCTTCTCCTTAACAGACGAGCAGCACCTACTGCTTTGGAGTCATGATGATGTCAGCAATGGGGGATGCCATCATCATCATGTTTGCCAGGGAAGCATGTCATGGCTATCAGGTGGCCACCAGCAGACTGAGTCTGGGCAACCCTGAGATATCCCTGTTTCATTTGAAATATTGTAAAATATTGCCAGTTTCCAAAATTTCCACATTTGAGGAACATTTGTAAAACATCGACCCATGTGGTCCAGATTCAGACTCCAGGCAGCAGCCAATTGGTTGGGTGGTCAAACAGCTGGCCTGCTTCACCTGGTGGGACTTGCCAAAGGGCAGGTGACCATGGGAGGGAGGGATCCCCAAATCCTTTCAGTATGTCACAATATTGTGGTGGCCTCGTCTACAACTGAGTCATATCACATAACTAAGCACTATATAAATAAGATGCAATCCACCTGGAGCTTGGAAAGAACATGTTGCATATCACAAAATATCTGTAACCTTACTTTTTCAGCTGAGGAATGAGTGAGTGCATCATGAGTTTGTTTTTTAAAAGATAATGTAACAATGGGTTACTTTTTTTCCCTTGGAAAAGCAATGCCAGCAAAGTGTGGCCCCATGGGCTCCATGCAGGTTCCATGACATTCCTCCCTTGCTTTTCCTCCCGACAGGCTGGTCACCCTCTAGGTCAGGGAAAGGCAACCCCTAAGCTGGACGTTTGTAGGCAGGAAGATGGCGAATGCACTGCAACCGACTTTAACAGCCTTCGCACAGCAGAATGCCACTAAGCAAAATACCTTCGGTTACTGGCAATATCCTACAAGGATCCTACTCCAGGATACTTAAGCATAGGAAACAGTGGCATTATTAATTATATCAGAATGGAAAAGTGGGGGGCAGGCACTTTTCCTGAGAGGTCAGACTTCGCTGGGACATTTCTGGGTGGCCTTTTTCTTTTCTAAAAACCATGACAGGGATGTTTTTTAAAAGGAACACTCTGGCTTCTTTTTTAATGGCTCTTTGGAACAGTTCCAGATAAATTAGTGTGTGTGGCCGTGTGCCCGCTTTCAGTTACTAAAATGGGTGGCAAGAATTAGAAAGAATGGGATGCACATGAAAATGCTAATTTAGTCACTTTAAATTTCTTTTATAAACTCAAGGACAGCTAAAGAAGATATTTCTTCATTTAAATGTTGTTTCTAGCCAAAGATTAACTTTTCTGGCCAAGGCAAACAGAGACGGTGAAAACCTCTCACCGCTATTAGCTTTGAAGCAAGGTGTTGCTGTTAAGCATGTTTGGTGACCATGTGCAGTGGTTCCCTTGAGAACAGAGCAAGGTCGGAGGAGCCTCAAGAGCGAACGGTTGCTGATAATTCAGCTCCAAGCTAATTGCCTCACCAGATGTTAAAGAGCATTGTTTGAGTGGAAGCACCATTTTAATTATTCCTGGTCTATGAGCAATAACTTTCAGTGGGCACGGATGATGGGCTTTGTATGAACCCTCTTAAAACCCAATACTCTGAAAGAATTGTTATGAAGGAATCTGTTGCCGGTTGAGGTCTATGTCTATTTTTCCTTCTTCTTCCAAGCCATCGTTCAATCCATAGCACAAAGTGGTGCACAGAATACTTTTAAAGCCATCTAAATAGCCTTTGAGGTCTCACCTAGATTTCAAGCGTAATGAACGCGAGATGCTTGGCACTAGTGGAAGGACAATTCTCACACACAAAAGCAGTTGACGTCCTTCCAGTAAGGGAGCATTATGCATAGCCTCTTCAATGGTCAGTGTTTTGCATTGCCAACTTCTCCATCTGGCCTCCCCATCGTAGAGCCTTGAGTAATTCTTAAGTCCGTTTTGTAGTGGATGTTGAAAAACAATACAATAAATGCTGCCATGCCTCACCAAGGATTTCTTACAGCTCTGATGCACTCTTCTCAGTGTCCAGCTGAATACATTCAAGTGCAGAAGAGGTCTTTTCTTTTCTCACCCATCTGGGCAACTAAATTGACCGCCGTTGTGATTTTTTAAAACTCCTTTCTCCCAATCTTTTTCTACACTGTGAGCTTAAGAAATGTGACTGTCTGATTATTGAATTTGATAGACCACTGTTGGGTTGTTGTTGTTGTTTGGTTGAAAAGCAGGCTAAACATTCCTTAAAGTCTTTGAGTAATTTTTTTTTTGCAATGAATAAAGCAAAAAAGAAACAAACATACAGAGAAGCGCCATGTGTAAAAATCAACATTTTTTTGAAGAAAAGGTTGAAGCACTAAGTTATTGCAATTGCATACTAGCTGCGTACTCAGGATCTTGCATTTGGTTGATGACATCTTGGACCAGGGATATCCTAAGATCAGCCTAGAAAAATTATATTTTTGGACCTGTAAGTTCCAGAATCACCTAGGCATGGTGACTGGGAGATTTTAGGAATATAGTCCAGAGAGAAATTTTTCAAAGTTCTCCATGTGTCCTAGTCTTCAAATTTCCAAAACACTGCAGTCATATGACCCCAAAATAGAAATACAATACAATAAATGCTGCCATGCCTCACCAAGGATGATGACATTTTGTAGGGCAACCCTTTATATGTCATTATGGCCATCAATTAAAAATTAAAAACATTCTGCAGAAATCTTGGGCTTCATATCTGAAAGGCCCAAGTGGAATGTCCAGTAGCAAAATATTATGGGAATGAAAGAGTGGTGCTAAACACACCCACCTCTGACTTAGAGCTTTGGTAAGGTAATCAGAAGCAAGGAGGCAGAAGAAGATGAAGGGCATGGCCGATCTTTTCCAGCCTGTCCAGATTGTATTTTGTCATAGAGATAATTGCGAGGCTAAGCAAACATGTGGAAATCTGGGGATAAATAAGAATTAGATCAGTCATCTTTGAGAGCGAGAAAAGAGATGGGGGCAGCTGCCTCGTCTATGGAAGAACTGCCAAACAAAGCATGCCAAGTAATAGGTTGGAAGGAAAAGTGAGATAATTGCTTCAGTCTGTTTTAATAAAGAGCATCTCCCCCCACATCACTTTGGCCCTTCGTTCCCATTTTTCTAACTGCACCTTTATGTTCAGAGCACAGGAAAAGTTGTTTTTTGAACCATAGCTTCCTAGCAAGCTATTTTCATGTTGATGTAAAGCAGCAACTCAGCAAATACAGAAAGGTGGGCGGGCGGGTGGGCGGGCACTGAATTTGATGTAATGTAAATTTTTCAATCCAATAGAGACAGCCAATCAGGTGCCCTAATTTAAGCAATTTCATTTCCCTCACAAAGGTTCTATTAAGCATCATTTTACAAAGAAAGACCCACACTGCACACCCTTGAGAGTGATTTAAAATGAGATTTTGCAAGGAATAGCCATAACTTTTCCGTAGCCTTCTCTCAGATTCTAGATGTGTTGTGCTCCACATAAAAGAACATCGGCCCCAAAGGAGCACGGCAGGTTGCGCTGTGTCCTGGGTTGCATGGGACAGAAGTGCTCCAAATCCCTATAAAATCTTTGAGGAACTGAATAGAATAATACGTGAGAGAAAGAAGATCAAGGATGGGAGACAGGGACCATCTATCAAAGTGTAGTAAATTTAGTTTCCCATCCTTGATCTTTTTTCAGGGTAGAGGCCAGAAAACAGTCTGATGTTGCTGCAGAATATCATGCCCACATTGCCAGACATAAAAAAGGATGCCAAACTTAACATAACAAAGGGCAGCTATTCAGTCAGCCTAGGTGACCATAGTTGAATCGAAGTGCTTGTAGGTCTACTTACAGCCCTGTTTGAATAGATTTGTTGTTTAGTCGTGTCCGACTCTTCATGACCCCATGGACCAGAGCATGCCAGGCCCTCCTGTCTTCCACTGCCCCCCAGAGTTGGGTCAAATTCATGTTGTAGCTTCAGTGACCCTGTCCAACTTGCTTGGAAGAGTGTGTGCTGGCTCTGCTGTGTGTTTCTGTGTGCGTGCGTGGGTGCATGTGTGTGTGTTCTTACCTCTTAATAAGAGGCAAGATATGAAGGGGAAGGTGAGAAGGTGCTTTGAGTGTGTTTGCATGCACACCTCGTACTACCTTTCTATATCATTTCAAGCTATCACACGATTGAATCAATCTGAAACGATCTGATATTTCAAACAGTAGAAGGTTCCCAGGTGGAGGAGAAAGCTATGAATTGAGGAGGAGGGGGGATTCACATTTCCCTCTGCATCATCTGATCAATGAAGAAGAAAAAATGAAGATCAGCCTGCCCCAAACCCGTAACATTTTCTAGAGTTTCTGGCAATGTTTTCGCCCCTGAGGCAACTCATTAGTTGTCAGTCATGTGACAGGTTATCATAATAGTGAGTGGTGGCATGCTGCCACAAGTGTGGTCACCTGCTGCCTGTGTCTGTCTGCGTGCGTTGTGCCTATAAAATAACACACAACAGAAGGCTCTTTTAAATATGCATTCCATGCTCTGAATACTCTATGTACAGACGCATCTTGTTTTGGAGATGCTCGGTAATCCTGCATTTCCCACAAAAGGTGAGCTATTATGCCACACATTCTCAACCCAGGTAATTTTGTAGGTTAAAAGCAAATAGGTCTATATGATATAATAACATCAACTGCCACAGCTGGTGGGAAAGACAAGGTCACGCTTCCAGGAATTGGTAGAAACAGCAGTTCTGGTGTGTTCTGTTTTCATTTGTAGATAGAGTGCCACAAGTGTGAAGCATTCTTGGACTTTTCCACATTGCCTGCATGACTTATACCATATTGCGGCTTGTCAGAGCCAGTCCCTCCCTGCTCCCCCCCCCCAATTTAACTTGAAATAGCTTTTTTTACACAGGAGAAACATTATCAGAATTAACCAAAAAATGGTTACTGGTATTACAGCTGAAAAGGACTGTGGACTTTTCTTTCCAGACAGCTGGTTTGATTCTTAAAGGTAGGGATTGATTAGTTAAATATTATTAACAGCATCTGTTTTGTTTGTTTGTTTGTTTTGCACAGTGCTGTGGTTCTTGATGGAAAGATTTATGCCACGGGTGGAATTGTCAGTAGCGAAGGCCCTGCGCTGGGAAACATGGAAGCCTACGATCCGAAGACAAACACGTGGACGCTTCTCCCCAATATGCCGTGCCCTGTGTTCCGACATGGCTGTGTAGTAATAAAAAAGTACATCCAGAGTGGTTGATGCCAGGGACAACTCGGCTGTCGAACTGGGTGTTGCCCACAGAAAGTAGGCAGGAAAAAAAGGAAACTGTCCCGGAGAGAAAAATCGAGGAAATGCAACCGACAAACACTTGTCTAAATCTATGTATAATCTCTACATTGAATGTAGAAAATCATCCTCACCTTTTGGTGAACGGGGAGCAAATTGCTCCAGGCTATGTACAATAGTGTGACTTAACACAAGTGTGCCACTAGATGTCATAGTGGCACTTGTTACAGACACAGGCATTTGGGTCTACTGAGGTGCAATAGCATTTCCCCTGAGTTGCTTAGGGGACAAGAGCGGACTTGTGTTCCACTGCTCAACAGAAAGCTCAATTCTTGAAATACTAACTGTGTTGATTAGGCTCTGCTGAATCCACATGAAGCATCGGGACTATTTGAAATGAAGGTCAAAGTGTCCTTACCACTTTGATTGCAACTTGTCTTTTCGCCCCCACCCCACCCCCCGTTTTTAACCCAACGATATGCTTTTCGATACCAATGACCGAGAGAGAGAACTTGTGTGTCAGACTGCATAGGGTGAAGTCAGTCTTCCATCTGAGCAAGTGTTCATTACAGCTCCTTAGAGCCGAGCTAACAAAGGATAGAAGTGTGTCTGTCTGTCTACTAGCATTCCATGTCCTTTTAATGAAAAGGTTTTCTGAAGTTGTTTGCCAATGTGAATGTGTGGTCGTGAGGAGGGCTTGTTTCTGCCTTTCTACTGTTTTTTCTACTGTATGGACAAAAAAAAAATTGACAGCTATGTTTCTATAAATTGAGAGGCATCTAGGAGCTTTTATTAAACTTTTATTTATCTATTCAAGGTTTAGAATGAAAATTCTGTGTTGGATTTCAATATTTTGAGCCAGTTATTTAAGGCAATGCCTTGTGAGGAAGATTGACATCACCACTGAGTGACAAGTCCACTAGCCAGGAGATATGCCACTGTCTATATTTTTTGTCAGATTACTCTGAAAGATCTTGTCTATTTTTTCAGACTTCCGTACTCTGCCCCTTCCCTTTCCCAGGTGTTGGTGGGAGTCTTTAAGGAAACTCTATTTCCTTGAGAGGCTTCAGTGGCTGCTGCTTTAAGAATAAATGCTTTTGCGGCTTCTTACGATACCAGTTGAATAACAATGCATCAGGTTCTATCCTGCTTTAGAGAGAAGGTGTTGTGGGGAAAGGCTATTCTGTAGAGTTGTAAGTATATACACAGCAGGGCTATATTTTTATATGTATATTAAAATATTGTATATTCAGAGAAGCATTGTGATGTGAACATTTCTTTATAAAAATTGTGGGTTGGAGGAGATGAGATGGGAGAAACTCGGGCAATGGGATTACAGGGGTAACAACAAACATAATTTACAATTAACCCTGAGCCAAGGAGCTGTTGCTGATTTAAGTGGGTGAGTAGATATAGTAGACACACTTGCCATCGCAGAATTGCATTGTGATTAGAGAAACAGCTAATTTCATCAGAGCTACTTTACGCCCAATGCTAGAGACATCATGGAAAAGGCTTACATTCTTCAAAGTCTTCATCACTGGAAGCAATGGCACCGGGATTTTACTCACACAGGATGGGGTCTGTTAAGCCAGTCATAATTCAGTTGATGCAGCTGATACGTCCTCCAGAGGGTTTCTGTCTAAACCCAGAACCACTTAGAATGTTCCCTGTTGGCACAGCATCATTGTGTTAGTTTTTTTCTGCTCCAGGTCATTGGCTGAGGCTGATATTGGCAGGGAGACTCGCCATGCGGTGGCACCTTAATGCTCCAGGGGCAGCATAGTGTTTGTAGCCACATCCCCATGACAGGTGTCTCATCTGCTGCTCTTCCCCTCCTGTGCACTGCACATCCACCTGGGAGCAAGCTGCATCAGTTCCAGTGTGTGTCTTCCCCAGTATGTGTGCTTAGAATCACAAACTTTCTCTGACATTTAAGTAGCGGAAGAGAGGTACTGTCCACAGAGAGTTGATTTTGATACCAAATTATCAGTTTCTTTCTAAATTGGAATTTTTTTTTTGAATAAACCTACTACAGGTGGCTGGCTGACTACATTAAAGTTTTTTTATTTAAAAAATAATAATTTATACCAAGCAGAGGGTTATTACAAACTTTGTATCCTGCCATGTTTCGAAGAAATGCTCATTTGGGCAACAGTCTGTAGACTGATGGAAATCTCTCACATCGTTCATGTGGAGAGCGATATTCAGCCTTATTATGCAGTTTTATTCTTTACTCTTTGAAGGAAAGAAGTCATGGGAAGTGTTTTTGCCTGCCACGATACAAGTGTGTACCTAAAAGACTGGCGCGCAGGTTCCTCACTGCCTGGGGCAGGTTGAATTTTAGTACTGGTGTGTGTCTACCTCCAAAGGAGGTGCTAGCTTGTAAACCTTGCTAAGTATTCAACATCTCCAAAGTAATCTTTTTTCCTCACACTGGAACAAAGCTGGCTATTTCTGTGAATACTACAAACACAGGGTTTCTCTGTAATGATACTGTATATATGTTTACTGTTAAGTTCTTGTTAAATAAATCTATTTCTAGATCTAGATTCAGCATTAATTGGACTTTCTTTTTAAAAGAAGCAATAAGGCTGTTTCTCAGTCAGGCTACTTTCTAGTCACGAATGCCAAGATCCTTGTAATTCTTGGAAATTATCCTGGGCTCCAGCTACCAAAACAGTTGCTCTCCCTCCATCCTTTCTTTCCTTGGAGCAGCTTGGCCACATTCTTCCATAACTCACACAACATTCTGTTTGGCTGTGCCTAAAAAGCTCACACAGATTTTATTTGTGCAGCCACAAATTAGGAATGCCTTGATGTTTTCATACATGAACATTGGAAACTACGTCTACCCTTTGGTAAACGACTTTCATTATTTCAGAGGCCAAATCTCTTGCAGTTCTCCAGAAACATGAAACCAGGTGGGTGTTGGGTTTTTTGTTGTTGTTGTTTTTAGCTGTAAATCACTGGATGGGGAAAAACTATCAGCCAAATACTGTAGAATAAGCTGGCTGAGAATTGCTTTCTACTTAGACGTGCTGTTTGCAGTGGTAGAACACTGCACGAAAAGACTAGGTTTGGTTTGTCCATTAAAGAAAAAAATTAAGGTCCCACACCTCCACAGTGTACAACAATGCAGGGATTTGAGATCTTAACCTGCAGTTATTTGGGCCATTTTGTTTGTTTGTTTGTTTCTTTTTAGCGGCTCAGGCCGAACAGCAGGAAGTGACTACAATAGTTCTTCGGGGCGCTGCAGTCCTGAAACAATTCAGGGTGAGTTGAGGCAGCTGCCAACCTTATCAGCATTGCAGAAGAGGTACAGTATTATTCAGCACAAGTCAATACTACTTGGTAAGGTGAGCAAGGTTGAAGGTATTTTGGTTTTGCTTGTATGTGCAAATTATTCTGGCTTTCCTTTGGGAAATTGGTGGAAAGCCTGTGATAAATTAATCATATGCATATACCTGCTAGGAGATGCAGAAGTAACCCTTTTCTTAAAAGCTTTTGGAAAGTCTAAACGTAGGTTGGCTCATCCTTTTCACCCCTTGTTGACCCAACGCTTTGCACCCTACCTTTTAAAAAAGTTGTTTGCATGGGCCGCCATGTTTGCAGAAGTGTTGACTACCTGCTGTGGTTTGTCATTTGGTAGGAAATCTAGAAAGTTAAATGTCATCTATCACGCTCATAGGCTGGCAGTATTCCCTGAAAAAAGGTGCTATACGTTTATCTACTGTATCATCAAATATCATATATTAACCTTTGCATCTTAGGCCATCTCTGGGTGAGACTTGGCATAGTGGAAAAAGTGCTGGCATAGAACTCAGGCAACCTGGGTTCACATTCCTGCCAATTATTTGCCTCATACTGGCTATCATATAGAAGTAACAAAAGTCACCTGGCGGAGCTGTCACTAAGAAAAACAGAAATCAAATGGTGCTGTGCTCTCGGCAATCCTTAGCAAGGCCTGTAGAAAATGGTACAAGGGCTGTTTATTCAGATATTATGAGCAGAAGTGAGGGAGCTGCCACCGGTTCTCTGCATCCTCATGAAGGGAATTTCGTCCCCATGGCCTTTTAAGGATGGTTTCAAACTGGCTTTTATGACAGGATGGCTCAATGGTTTAGGTCTCTGGAAGCAGAGCCACAGGTTGGGAGTTCAGTTCCCCCACTCGACCTCCTGCGAGTAAAGGCAGCCTGTGTGGCCTTGGGCAAGCTGCACAGATCCAGGGCGCCCCCTGAAGAAGAGAATGGCAAATCACCTCTGAGTACTCTCTACCTGGGAAAGGCCACCATAAGTCAGAATTGACTTTACGGCACATTAGTAGTATTATTATGACGGGATTGTCTTAGTTCTGTTCTTTGTGCTTTTAGATGACCTATTAATTGGCTTTAATAGCGAAGATATTTTGTTTTGCTGTTTCTTTAACTCAGAAGAGCCACTTCTTTCTCTTTAAAGCCGGAACAATCATACCAAGCAGAAAAGGAAGACTTGGGAAGTGGAGCTGCTCCAAGCTCTGCAAACTGGCACGGGAACAAACGGACATGCTTTGAAATGACCTGATTGAAAAACAGGTTAAAATAATAAGTGTGTCATATTGTTGTGTGATGGACGGTGTGTGTAAGCTTATGGGTAGAACAAAGAGGATTCTTCGTTTAAACATGCTCCTTTCCTATGATAACTGGACAAACCCACTTTAAGAATTAGCATACTTTTTGTGACATAAATCAGTGGTTCTTAACCTTTTTGAAAGAAACGCCCCCTTGACCCATTGAGGAAGTTATCATCGCCCCCTCCCCGCAGTGATGATTTATTTATTTATTTATTTATTTATTTAAGACACTTAAATCCAATGACCCCTGAAAACAAAATTAAATTCCAGGAAAATGAAATGCTCCCCAAAAAGTAACATTTAATGATTTAGTTGCAAGTGAATTTTAAGACCCAAAAAGAAATATAAAAAGGGCATAAAAACAAATGCAGGAACTAAAAATTTCAAGACAAAAAGTCTGAAACT